TTTTCCAGATCTTTGAATTCACTCCTCACTTAAATATCACTTATCTACCTCACAATAATCTTTATATTTACGCACTATTGTACTCTATCTGATATTAACTACCTAGGCCCTTATTGAAGCTGAAACTTGCTCTTTGTTCATATTTGTTGCTTACTTTAAGTCTGGTTGCTTTGATTAAAAACACAACAACACCAGTGTTTGAACAAAGCTATATTTTCATCGGAAACGTGATAGTTTCCATGCTTAGACCAATATGGTTAGCATTATTCATTGCAAATGTAAACTATCATCTCAAGTACTATATAGCTTCTTCTCCTTTTATTTATCTTGTAAATATACTTCCAATAATGTATTATTCATAGACGCATTTTATACCATTTTCTTCTCTTCATGAAATGGCGTTCAGTCACGTGGCGACATAGTACTCACCCAGATATACGCTGTTCACTGGTTGACCATAACGATCAGCAGGAAACAGAAAGAAGTATGGGTTGCTGCTCAACTTTGATGGTGATCTTAGTTAATGGCTTACAATTTAACAATGTCGTATATTGTAATTGCTACATAGCCCCTATAAAAACGTTTTGTTATCATTATTATGTATTAATTATTTCGTTTATCTATTTTTTTTGTTGTTGTCGTTTTTGAGTAAATTAGATGCAATACTGTACTCAATGCTGAAAATTCCTTGCCGTATCATTAATACTGTTTTTGGAATAAAGCAAAATTATTATTATTATTATAAGACCCTGATTGCTTGTACAATAATTGAACAATTCAAGCTTTTGAAAAAGCATTAATTTATGATACTTCCGGATTATAATTTATAACATTACTGATCGTGCCTGTAAAAATGGCATGCTTTTCTTGTAAAGCTACCCGTTCATACGAAATATAAAATTATTATCATTATTATAACGAGACTGGCCCTAAACAGGTATGCATTCACCTAGGGTTCTAACAAGAAGTCGTGATCAGTGGAGTGCAACATGTCGTGAGTGGGGACAAACACTTACCGAAGACACCGCCTATCGGTCACGGTATGTCGTGTATTGGCAGAAGTCAGAATTCATGCCCTGGGGATTTGATTGGGTCCCAGTGGCTTAATGGTTCACGAACTCGCCTTGTAACCAGGAGGTCCTGGATTCGTACACACTGCAATGGGTGCGAAATGATGAAGATTCACAAACTAGGATGAAAGAACCGTATAGTACTCCCAGGTTTTCCAAAGGATCCTTAATGATATCATCTCATGATGAAACCGTACAAATAATCAATCTAAACCCCAAAAACCAACAATCTAATAAAACTTGACTACTATCAGTAGCGGCCATTAACCGTGTAGGAAAATATGCTGTACAAAACCTCGTGTTATACAAACGAAATCACACGCAAATGCGGATATATCCCCAAGAAATTGCTTAGCCATTCTCATTAATCCTTACAGTGTAGGTTAGATAAAAGAACTTCAACAACGCACCTCCATTTTGTTCTGTTTTGTGCTGTCCTCTTCAGTCGTATCCACGCCTGTCTATATTTTCTCAATTCCTCTTCGCACACGATTTCACCCATGTCACCCTCGCACTGACGACCCACTCGCCGCTTCCCATTGGAAATCCGCTCAAGTTATGGCCTCTACTGCACGCGATGACATCCGACGGCCCCATCAACGCATTCCCGATCCATCTCCATTTTCTCCTTCATATTTGTTGAGCTATAGGCTCTTGCTCGGTTTGCTGCCAGAGTTTCTTGTTATCAATTCCTTCTGGCAATCTATTTGATCTTCAGTATGGAGGCAGTTAGAGCGGCAGTTGTTGACAAAAGTCTGTAACTTGTTGGAATTCCTTTTCGTGAAGCCTGAGTCAGGTTCCTGACCCGTATAGAAGAACTGACTGAATGACTGACTTCACATTGGTGTTGAGAATGTGAACCTTGCTCTTTATGCCAAGGCGGAGTGCAGACGATTTCCAGACTGGTTGCTAGTTGATGAAGGCGTATCTTCCCTTTCGGATTCTAGCTTCCCTTGACACACTCATCTGCACCCACTGCCTGCAGTTGAAACGATGCTCCCCAGATAAGTGAAGAAAGTAAGGAAGTTTCTCCCGTTGGTCAGGATTGGTACTGCTCCTCGTTGCTGTTAGCGGTGGTTGGTTATCTTCATCACCTCCGTCTTCTCTGTGTTCACCTGGACTACTGTCTTCGCTGCAGGCCTCTTCAGTCATTTCGTTGCTTTCCTCCTGCAAGTCTCAAAGTTGTGTGACACTAAACATAAATCATCCACGTGTGAAATCCAGATCTTCTAGAGTCTTCTCGTCAGTCAGTGCAACGTATTCCTGTCTTCTCACTCCCGAACTCACAGTCTACCGCATAATCCAGTCCACCACAATTAAGAATACAATCGCTGTTAATAAGCAGTCAGTCTTGTCTTACTCCTGTATTCACTTCGAACCCCTAGCCGAGTTTTCCGATTTGGATCACCTGACACGTGTCACATAGCCAGCTTTTGAATGATGTAGTGTTGAAGCAGTCTCCAAATTACTTCTCGGTCAACGCTGTCTATCGAAGTCGATGAAGTTGAGGTAGAGGTTTGACTACGGTTCTACGCTTTGTTCGATGATGATGCGAAGAGTTGCTTTTTGAGCAGCACATGATTTGCCTTTCCTGATCAGCTTGTTTTTGCGGATGTCTTCATCCAGTACATCTTATCCTGTCTCCAGGACGAATGGGCTTGGTGTTTAGTCATATCATTTGTAGGCCCAACATTTCCTTTCTTTCTCTCTCTCTTTTTTCTCTTTTTTTCGTTATATGCCGCTTTGTTTCTTTCATACGCTTACGTCAATAAATATGATAGCACCTACTTTTCTAACACCTTCAAACACTGTTCAACTTTGTCTTTGTTACCGACATGCCAATACGTTGTTGTCATAATGAACTAAGATTTCCTTCATCTATGTAGAATTCTACTTATTGATAATGTACTAACTGGATGCAATACTGTAGTAAAAATGCTGAGAATTCCATTCTGTATCACAAGTACTGTTTTGGAATAAAGCAAATTATTATTATTACTTGAAGTGCGTGGACAAGGGCATTATTCCACGCCAGTTCTTCTACAACCTGGGTCGCCCTTCTTTGATGGCTTGATAAGGTAACTAGCCTGCCTTCCAATCAGTAGTCACCTTTCCTTCCTTCCAAACTTTTGCAATAATCGCGTGAGAGCATTGGACGCAGTGTCTGGGTCCGTTTTCAGTGATTTGGCAGGAATTCCATCTGGTCCTACTGCCTTCCCGGACAACATTCAGTAGCTTGATCGCATTTGGGATTTCCGCTTCAGTGTCCGCTGTTAAACAGTTCCGTGCGTGCTTTTGTATATATATATATATATGGACAAGTCGCAGGTGATGGTCGATTCGAGAGTCCTGTAAAGTGACCAACCGAATGGTCCTCCTTGGTAATCAGGTTCCCATGAACATCGTTTATTGGCTTCATCACCTAGGTTGATCTTTTCCCGGATAAAGACTTGGTTATATAATATAAAGTGCTGAGGTCTCTTTCGCCTGCGGCCAGCCTGTTCTGCTTCAGTTGCCAATGTGCCGTAGAAATGTCTTTTGCCCTTCCTAGCACTCTTCACTTCTTTCTCCAGTGCAGTGTACATTAATATTAACTCAGGTTTTCCTTCTCTTGTCCATCTTTGCACTGAGTCATCTACTCTTTCACCATCCTCATCTCTTCTGTCAGCTACCAAGTATCCTTTGAGAGACTTTCTTGTCTTGGCTCTTCTTTTTTCCTAGAACACTTGTACAGTCTCCTTGAACATCGCCTTCAAAGAGTTAGTTCCAGTGTTCTCCCACGCGGGGTTACTCAGTGATATCACGTAGCATATCCGACTTGGCTCTGATCTAATCTGTAGTGAAGGCATCCCTTGCAGTTTTGTCCTTCAGTTTCCGAATGTTGAACTTGAATTGTGGTCTGCATCCATTTTTTTCATGGATTTCAACTTCACCTTGAGGGTCCCTCGAACCAGATGTTGGTCTGAGCCCATATCTGGTCCCCTTGTCGACTTTATGTGCAGTGGATTGCGTTCACACTTCCTTGAGCAACATTTAGATGAAGTCTATCTGGTTTGTGGTGTGTAAGTAAGGTGAAATCCATGTTGCTTTGTGTATAGCATTGTGCTTGTACACGCTGTCTCCAATTACCAAATCGTTGGAAGAGCAGAAGTCTGTGAAGAGTTCTACGTTCTCATTCATTTTTCCGGGATCCTTTCGATCCATGATAAGTTCTTTTCCTGTGGTATCAGCTCACAATTCGGCTGGCATCTATATCGACCGTAGGGGATTTGATGTCACAGCTTGGGATGTTGTCCATTACTGTTTTCAGTTGCCTGTGAAAATTTTCTCTCTTCTGTCGTCCCGCGCTGTTTTTAGCACTATGCTTAGAAGTGGATAACTGTAACCTTTCTTCCTTTAGATTTGAATCTTGCTGTCATGATCTCGGATGAAATTATTTCCCACTGCATTAGGGCTTTGATTACCACTAGTGACATCATTATAGCCACTCACTGCCTCAGTGTGTTTGTGGTTGTCGTTTGGGTAACCTGAGTAGATTACTGACTCTTCATTTGACAATTATGATAATCCACGTGCATTCCACCTGCTATTTCAGATACCCAGAACTTTACCATATTTTCACATTTCTTCGGCTAACTGTGCAGACTTCCCAGTCTCGCACATGTTACAGACGTTCCAAGTCCCCATTCTCATTCTTGCGATCATTGAGAAGACACAGTGGCAGACTGGCTTCTCAAGAGCTGTTACCAACGGTGTCATTCAGACTGACTGATTCAAGCCCAGAATAAGTTTGTTTCTTGAATTCTTTGTATTTTTAATATATTTTTTGTGAGTTTAAGTTTCTCTAGCAGTTTGATAGCTTTTGGGCTGTAGGATCTCTAGCCTTACGCCCAGCCCTTCCTCTTTACCCCAAGGCTCAGGACTGGCTAGAAATAGGACATCTCAAACGCGCCAAATATTATTAGTTGTGTTACATTCATGCCTGTTAAAGTACCGAAGCCTATTGCCAAATATCTCAGCGAGCAGGTGGCTCATCGAATAAAAATTCTAGAGGCGGCTTTAATTGAGATTCATGATCTTGACAATCGAATGAAAATGGAATTACTATCATTGAATTCTTTGGCAGAGTCGAATGGTACCGAAATCGATGAGGTTCAATTGACACATAAATCTTTAACCAATGTGAGTTACTTAATCACAGTGTTTAGTTTTACTTGATCTCATAAAAATACTTTTTTGAGCCAGGTTCTTCTTCACTATGTAAGTTTATATATATAATGGTACACATGTATGAGAGAAGAAAAAATAATTACAAGACCTATAAAGGTATTCAGGATTGTGAATATGATATTGGGTGTTATAACTAACGATTTTATGTCAGATTACCAAAAGTTTTAAACTGTGGATTCCTAATACCATTAGAAAAATTGTACTACTATCCACAGCTAAGATTAGTCTTCTGAACAATCCTTCGTAAATGTCATCCAATCTAACTCTACTTCGGTTAACAGATACTTCACTGAACGACTTGTTCTCTGTATATAGCACTTTAGAATTAATGTGTGCAATTCCACCTCATTACAGGCGATCGCATGCATTTTTAATATTCCTCTGGAATACCTCATGAGTATTCAGAGAATATTAAAATCGAAAATACATCATTGTATAATCTTTCTTGAGTTTAAAGTTGTTTTTTTTCTGTCCTGTGTTATATTCTATTTTTACTGACATATCTTGATACTTATGTGCATGCGTATAAATATTTATGCGATTTACTAGTTATTCTTACAAAATTTTACATTCGTCTTTAGGAAGAATTATTGGACCGTCCCATGCATATACATAATAATGATGACGATGATGGAAAATATGAAGTGGTGAATTTAAATGAAATTGCTGATTATGAAGCATCAATTAATATTATAGACAAGGAAATCAAATCTACTAGTATTAGTCCTTCATCTCTTCGTACGTTAAGAACTCAGAATGATACACTGGATGATGATCATGATGACAATGATTATAATAATAATGGTAACCACTCCAATGGTCAAAAATTCAATTATCTCTCCGGTCTTATCAATAATCACTTATTGAATTCTATCCCAAAAGAGCATAGAGTCATGTCTCTTTTACCAGTGGATATGGATCATTCTTGATATAACTTATCTTTGTATATATCGTTTGTTGGGAGCATTTCACTTTGTATTAATCTATTTTATGTTATGAGTTGTATATATTTAATTTCAGTGTGATTTCACAAACCTTAAAACACTTTTATGTACATAAATTTATGCATATACATTTGATCGCTGAGTACGCATTCATTTTGTTATCATTGTGCGCGTGTGTGTGTGTGGTTTAAAACTTTCGACTTATTGTAATAATATTTATATGCATAACGTTTAATGGATATAAGAGTTGAAAAGTTGTTTAATGTATTGCTTTGGTTGATTTGTGGACTTACCAGTTGACTACCTATGACACATATTGATGTGTTCTTATAGTTGATTTGTCATCTGAATTTCCAGTAAAAATCATTCAATCTAGATGAGTAGTATAAAAGTGATACTAGTTAGTTCCAGGTTTAAACCAGGGCGAGACGGAATTCCTCTCCGAATCACTAAAAACAAACCAAGAGACTGCAGGAGATATGCTGACGCCCTTTAGCAGAGGTTTAGAAGGAAGGAAAAGTGCCTACTGATTGGAAGAAATGCCAACTACCTTCTCAAGCTACTAAAGTATGGTGACCTAGGGCTCTGCAAGAACTGGCACGAAATCATGCTCTTGTCCACGCCAAGTAATATCCTAAGTCGCATCATCCCGGACAGCCCACAGGAACAAGCTAGAATAAGGAAAGGCAAATCATGTGCTGATCAAAAAGCAACTCTTCGCATCATCGTCGAACAAAGCATAGAATCGAAGTCAAATCTCTCTCTACCTCAACTTCATCGACTTCGAAAAGGCCTTCGATAGACAGCGTTGACCGAGAAGTAATTTGGAGACTGCTTCAACATTACATCATTCAAAAGCTGGCTATGTGACAGTACCACGTGTCAGGTGATCCAAAACGGAAAACTCGGCTAGGGGTTCGAAGTGAATACAGGAGTAAGACAAGACTGACTGCTTATTAACACCGATGATATTCTTAATTGTGGTGGACTGGATTATGCGGTAGACTGTGAGTTCGGGAGTGAGGAGACAGGAATACGCTGCACTGACTGACGAGAAGACTCTAGAAGATCTGGATTTCACACGTGGATGATTTATGTTTAGTGTCACACAACTTTGAGACTTGCAGGAGGAAAGCAACGAAATGACTGAAGAGGCCTGCAGCGAAGACAGTAGTCCAGGTGAACACAGAGAAGACGGAGGTGATGAAGATAACCAACCACCGCTAACAGCAACGAGGAGCAGTACCAATCCTGACCAACGGGAGAAACTTCCTTACTTTCTTCACTTATCTGGGGAGCATCGTTTCAACTGCAGGCAGTGGGTGCAGATGAGTGTGTCAAGGGAAGCTAGAATCCGAAAGGGAAGATACGCCTTCATCAACTAGCAACCAGTCTGGAAATCGTCTGCACTCCGCCTTGGCATAAAGAGCAAGGTTCACATTCTCAACACCAATGTGAAGTCATTTCTTCTATACGGGTCAGGAACCTGACTCAGGCTTCACGAAAAGGAATTCCAACAAGTTACAGACTTTTGTCAACAACTGCCGCTCTAACTGCCTCCATACTGAAGATCAAATAGATTGCCAGAAGGAATTGATAACAAGAAACTCTGGCAGCAAACCGACCAAGAGCCTATAGCTCAACAAATATGAAGGAGAAAATGGAGATGGATCGGGAATGCGTTGATGGGGCCGTCGGATGTCATCGCGTGCAGTAGAGGCCATAACTTGAGCGGATTTCCAATGGGAAGCGGCGAGTGGGTCGTCAGTGTGAGGGTGACATGGGTGAAATCGTGTGCGAAGAGGAATTGAGAGAATATAGACAGGCGTTAATACAACTGAAGAGGACAGCGCCAAAAAGAACAAAGTGGGGATTATTATTTTAGATGGTTAGAGGCAATTGGCGCAAGTCCTTGCTTGACCTAAGTTTCGTGCTAGTTGCCACTCGTCAGCAAGGCGTATCTGCAAACTTTGAGGAACTTATATCTGTTTTGAGATACGAACATGGGAGCCCGAATAGCTCAGTGGTATCGTCTCTGACAGCAGCACTGGCTGACGCGGCTTCGAATCTCAGAAGGGACATGAGTTTCTTTAAGGTCGAAAATACGCTTCGCTGACGAGTTGCAACTATCATGGAACCTAGATCAAGCAAGGTTTCCTGCAGATTGCCTCCATCCTTCTAATATCAACAATTCAAAGTGCACCGTGATGGCGAGCCACCTAGAGTGGTGACCACATTGCAAGCTTGACTGAATGGATTCAGTCTGAGTATCACCTTACAAATTCTGTGTTGTTAACAACCAGTTGGTGAAGCCAGCTATATACTCTAGGTGACGAAATGTAATCACAGAGAAGAACTGAGTCACTATGAGACAGTATAATTTAGGTCGACATTTAACTAACGTGCGTCGGTGGCATAGCGGTTAGGACGCTCGCTGACCATGCACATGGTCCGGGGTTCAATCCCCGGCCGATGCACTCCTTTACCTCGCTAAGCCAGAAATAATGCTGGTGAAGAGGAAAGGTTGGACATGAGGCTAGCAACCCCATCCTGTAAAATAAGCACTGCTACAGAAACTTTAAGCCACTAGCTTGAAGCCCAATGTTCCACTGGAGAACATGAAGGAAAAAAATCACTTTAACTAACTAAAACACTGTAATCTGATTGTTAGCTTCTAATTTACTATGCCCAAAGTGATCTACCACAATACCTATATGTGAAAAGTTACTTGACTGAGAAATTAAGGTCTACTTTTTCTTTTACAAATCGGCATTCAGCTAAGTAGAGTGTAAATATAAACTTACGGAAAACCACATCCCAGCGATTAGTTGAATTTGTACCTTAGAGTCTATACCAAATACTGTTTTTTTTAGCTATTCAAGTTATAACTGTTCAGAGGATATTTTTGTTCTTTGAATGAGTCATATTTTCTTTATGAGAATTCATATTGCTATCCTGTTGTTAAGGTTGATTCTCTCTCATCTCTTGAATCTCGCCTCAGGTAAACCTGCATTCTGCTGACCACTAAATTCAGTAACTACAGACGAAATGATGATATTTGTACTTTTTTAAATATTGATGAACTTCATTCTTTAAAACACAATGCTTAAATAGTTTATTGATAAAGTTCATTTAAAAAGTCAATATGATGTATTCAGAATAAAATTACAACACACTTGTGGTCATTTTTTAAATTTCCTTCACGTTCCCCAGTGGAACATAGGGCTTCAAGCTAGTGGCTTAAAGTTTCTGTAGCAGTGCTTATTTTACAGGATGGGGTTGCTAGCCTCATGTCCAACCTTTCCTCTTCACCAGCATTATTTCTGTCTTAGCGAGGTAAAGGAGTGCGTCAGTCGGGGATCGAACCCCGGACCATGTGCATGGTCAGCAAGCGTCCTAACCGCTATGCCACCGACGCACAAGCCGCCGCCCGCTATTAGACTAAACACATTACAGTAGTTACTAACTAGTGTCCAATCAAAGCGTCAAATACCTTCTTACATGATGTCAATCGCGAGGCCGAATATCTCATCAGTGGTAATGTCTGGTAATGACTGTAGCACTGGGTGGTGAATGGTTGGGTGACTTGGGTTCAAGTCTCAGAATGGACATGAGTTGTTCCTTCAAGATTGCAGATACGCCCTGTTGACTGATGATGAATGGCCAACTAGCACTAAACCTAGTTCAAGCAAAGCTTCTTGTCGATTGCCTCCAACCATTTCATATCAGCTATTAGAGTTATGGTATCTTGGTATATATATACTCGAGTTTCAGTTAGTTGACAACAGATTGGAATACTGTTTCATGTATTAATAGTTAGACTATCAAATAATAATACTAGCTTGCGTGTTATATATAGCACATCAAGCAAGAGAAGGAAGCCAAGAAAGACTCATCAACAAAGAGATAATAAACAGAAGTGTGAGTCAGAGAAGAAGAATAGTAATATTGAAGAACAATAGAGTCTTATTGGATGGATATGGCAAATCCCAAGGAGTGAATGCATCTGCGCCAGCCGTTGAGAACGAGAATTTTGAGTCGTATCAGCAGTTGTATCCAGCCGTCATTGTTTCCTATCATCCCGAAGACTCCAACCAGTTAGCCAGTCAGGAAGTGTACACCTCCCTAGGTGGCTGGCTTAAACTAAATTTTATGGATTTGATTGATTGATGAAGACATGTCTTCGTTTGACCACCACTAGCTAGCTCTTTTCCAACCTGAACAATCTTATGTCAGTCAGCTAAGAAATGAAATCTACAACAGTTAGTCTAAGCCACGTAGGAAGGTGTAGACTGGCTTCCTGGTTGGGGTCCTCGGGACGGTAAAAACCAATGGTTGGAAACAATTGGTGACATGGCTCAAAATCGTTCTCAGTGGCTGGCGCAGATGCATCCACTCCTTGTGACTTATGATTTCCAATTAAAGTATTTTGTTCTTCGTTATTACTATACTTTTGTCTCACACCTCTGTTTACTGTCTTTATTATGCATTTCTCCTACTTTCTTCTCTTGCTTTGTGTGCTACATGGAGTGTGGCGAACTTGAACTACCGCACATCGGTGCAAAGTTCTATGTCGAAAACAGACAGTCAGCTAAGATTTCCTGTCGAGGAAGGCGATAGCTAGACATGCATGCATAACACATGTCTTAACCATCTCACTCAATCGATGCAACTGCTTCACAACCTCGTCGATCGATTTCCCCTCCTTCCTTACCTGCACTTGACTGAAGCTTAACCTCAATATTGCTCATCCTATTATAGCACCTAACACGGGAGATAGGACGCAGGCACTTATGATCAGATAAATCATCAGACTGTTTGAATTTTTACACGATTAGTTTATTCCGTTATTCATTATATATATTGCTTTATCTTTCATTACAAAATATATTTATTTTATCATTTTACTTTCAGTATACATCACAGACTTCATTGTTACCCCCTAAAAGGCTGAGAATATCTGGAGAAATTTCACCTGATAGAGAATTAAAATACCGTAAATTCAGCAATCAAAGTTCACCATGTAATGTTGACCACTATTATCATCATCATAGTTATTCAGATGATAGTTCACTAATTGATACAAGTAGTCTTCGAGCTACTGCTTCTTCTTCTTCTTCTTCTTGTTCATCAAGTAATGAGGAAATTTATACAAAGACTGGATATGTTGAAGGTTATGTACATACTGAACGTAGTGGTTCACCATCTCTTATACGATTTACAGAAAATGTTTACATACGTGAAGAAGACGATGATGATGATGATGGTGATGATTATTATGATACTAGATCCACTGATGGATCCCGATCGACAAAAACACCGGGTCATTATATTTCCTATTTGTCAGAGATATTTGAAAGTATTCAAAAGTATAAATTAACTCTGACACTGGCTGTTTTAATATTGATTTCGTTTTATACACTATGTAAATATTATGGTGAGTTATAAGCTTTGCTAGATTATTTATCTTTGCGTTTATTTGTGAGATGTTATTATTAGTAGTACTACTTTGTTTTTTTTTCCTTCACGTTCCCAGTGGAACATAGAGCTTCAAGCTAGTGGCTTGAAGTTTCTGTAGCAGTGTTTATTTTACAGGATGGGGTTGCTAGTCTCATTCCCAACCTTTCCTCTTCACCAGTATTATTTCTGGCTTGGCGAGGTCAAGGAGTGCGTCTGTGGCCGGGGATCGAACCCCGGACCATGTGCATGGTCGGCGAGTGTCCTAACCACTATGCCACGGACGCACAGTATTACTTTGAGTGATTTATTATTGTTGTATGCTGATGAATTATTATCCTTGATATAAGTATAAAAATTGGGCACTGTGGTGCTGGTAGAGTATAACTCCATTATGGATAAGATTTTATTTTGATAAGTCAGTGTTATACAGTAATACTAACTGATGACCACGTTTCGAGCACAATTTATTACTGCTCATAATCATATCGAGTCACTACTCACATAACTTTTTACTTCATTTATATACATTACTGAAATTGAATAAAATCAGTTATATATGATAATGTACATTCAGAAGTAATAATACGAGTAATAGAGAAGATTTGTAGCTCCGGTGGATGATTTGCAATTAAAAGTGTTCTCTGAGCTGGTTGGTTTAGTCGCGAAGCTTCCGTCGCTGAAGATGTTGTCCGGAAGGACGACGAGAGCCTCGCGACTAAACCAACCAGCTCAGAGAACACTTTTAATAATACGAGTGTTATTGATCAATTACAATCAGATGGGAAATAAAACGAGTGTTTTTATAGTCAAAATAAATGAGTAACTTGTTAGAATGTTATGATGTACGTGAATTGAAATAGAATTTTGAGATTATTTATTATCCTCCTCTGATTTGATATCTTCCATATTTCTGGTATTTGCATTGAGTCATTTCTGTTGCATATGTTGTGTTGGGTGTAGACTCAATGAACCAGTCAGGATTCAGTAATCAATCTCCCTCTCTCTCCACTTACATAGATTGCTTCTTAGAATATTAACCCTCTCCCACACTATACAATACACATTTTCACAGCTTCGTTCCTCTCAAGTACAAAAGAAATCTGGTAAAGACCCTCAGCCATTGAGTTAGAGCTATGTGCTCAGAAAAAGTAATTGAAGATGAACTAAGCATTATATATGATACTTTGATCGGAAATAGCTATACCGACAAATTTATAAAGAAACACATGACTAAGAAAGCGGAAAAGGACTACTCACTATCCGTAAACAAGAAGCCTTTATATGTACGACTGCAATTCAAGGGCGATATACCAAGTGAAATAATTACGAAGAAAATCAGTTCAAAGAACTTTTAATGCTGGCAAACTACACTTGTTATTCTCTACACGACCGATGGTGATTCCCCGACTGAAAGATGAAGTACCTACACTAACCATTTCCAATTGTACCTACCAATTCAGCTGTGCTTGTGGTGGAGCGAGTTATATTGGCCGTTGCTCCTTTTCATGTCTTCTATTTTCATCGGCCATGTCTTACTGACAGCCATAAAGCAGGACGGAGAGAACTGCTACTGTGGAGTACACATGACCTTTGGCCGACAGCCAGTCAAATATCACGTCTAATAAGCCAAAGATGGTGTAAGTTGACACACACCACACGAACCTCATGTAACCGTGCTGAGATTTCGTCAGCTATCAGCCCGCTGGCGTTAGCTGATGCAACTCCCCAAATAAGTGAAGTGGTCAACACGCTCCAAAACCACTTCACTCCTGCCTATCTTTAAGCTAGGAGTGAGTCGATGTAGTCCAGTCATGTAGCCTCATCATCTTGCATTTAACAGCAGGAGCGCGCGAATCGCATGCCAAACATTCGTAGATTGCTGCTCCTCTAGGTTTTAAGAAGACATTGCTTAATTTTGTCAGCGTCTTCACCTAGGAGGAAGGACTAGATCATCCCCATATTCTACGTCAACGAGATTATTCGCTGTTGGCAGTAAGTCAATCCCCGAGTCGCTGAAGTGAGTTAGGGTTAAGTCCATTAGTACGTTAGTACGGGTACAGTGGACTGGCATCCCTGACGGACACCACTAGTTGTCACCACTTCAGATGACATCTCCGTAGGCTCTCACGTGGCTGGCTCCATGAGTTCGATTTAAGTGCCTTGATCAGTGCAATGTATTTTATTGGCATTCCCTTGACAGTCAAGCAATTCCATAGTACTTGTCGGTAGACAGAAACAGATTGAAATATTAGTAATAATAATAACAGTTAATAAGTAGAACATATTACCATGGTAGATTCATAGTGACCACCATTTCCTTTTGTACACATAGACCTGGTTAACAAACTCTAATTGCTCAAGCCTCCACAATTACAAACATCTTCCTGTTTGTTTGTCTGGCGACAACAGTGAATGACTTGACAGCACGTCAATACCTTGTGCGTATTCCACAAGATGCTTTGTTATTGAACTTTTAGGCATTTTGACTTCATCTGTTTTCATCACCTTGGCAAATGCTCCATCATGTGAGTAGAAAATTGCCTGTCTGTACAACCTATGTATTTGCTTTCACGAAAATACACTCAAATTGATATACACAGTTTGAAGAGTCGAGGATTGGCGACTAGTCTTTCCCAGATTATTGAATCACTCGCTTGATGGTGTTAAGGAAGACAAACTTTACAGCATTTTAAGTTTACTCCTGATGGCTTTGTCAAGTTCTGGTTTGGTTACCTCTTGTACATCATCTCCTTTGAATGGCAAATTGATATAGACAGATTTCTTTGGAACTGTTTGGATAGTTTTGTGGTGAGGACTGGCTGCTAGCCAAATCGGCAGATAGTAATTTACGTCAATGTTTACGTCCTCGATATTGGTCGTGAGAAAAATACGAACAAAGACTAATTCAACAACCAACCAGAGCAGACTTTGCGTGGGCGGACACAGTTAGCATATAAGATCTGACATTCAAGAGACAGCCACAAAGAGATGAAAGATGAACTTTCAGTGAGAAACAACCAATCAGAAGGCTGTGTTTGTCTGCTAACAATAATCTATAATAATGTACAAGAAAATCTATGAATATGTGTTGATTTCCTTAATAAACGATCTGTTGCCTGGCCCTTGTCTTCTGTTGTTATAGATTTACTGAAGCTCATTTCTTTGGAGTATTTATTAATGAACTTCTCAGGATATCCATTCTTAAATTGAATATCCTTCAAGTCCTTTCACTCACTCACTCACTGATAACTAATTGTTTATTTAAGTGATGTAATTGAACCGTAATGCATTTCATCTTAATTTTATATCCGTGTGTCTTTCAGAGTATCCAGCTGGAAGAGGAGTTCTACCGAAATTTGATGACTTCATTAAATCATCTTGCTTTACTAACTTTTCTTGCTTATTTTAAATTTGTATCAGGAAATAAGCGTTTCCAAGCAAAAATATTAGACGTAGATGTTATTGTACCACGTTCATTGGATTTGATTTCTCTGTTACACAGGCGGCTGAAGAAATAAAAATTCACAATTGCTTAACACTTTAATCAGAAATAATTACTGATTCCTTAAAAATTTTTATTTCTTTCTTTTTCCTAGATTCTTCCCTTTTTACAACATTCTTTTCTTCGTCTACTTCTTCTGAAGAGTCTCTCTTATTACCTATGCGAAAAGCTCGATCAGAAAAAGTGATAAAGCAGTTATCTGACGAATATAAGGATCAACCAAAACGTATTTGGGCTCAGATTCGTTCAGCTTTACAGTCACCTCAGCAATATGAGTAAGTATTAGCCATTTTATTAATGATAATAATAATTATTATTATTATATATATATATTCTACTATTTTGATGTGGTTGTGTTCTCTGAGCTGGATAGTTAATTTGCGGAGCTTTCATCGCCCTACTAGGCGACATCTTCAGTGCATACTTCAATGTGAAGTGAGCTTTTAGATTTCTCCACGAGTTTATTAATCATCTCTCTCCTGGTGAGCTTGAACGTGATTAGTTGTTTTTGTGTGTTTTCACACCCCTTAGGCTATTTGCTTTGCTACTGATTGCTTCTTTGACTTGAACTTTGATCCTTTATGTGTGAGAATTCCTTCTTATCGGTTGATAAATTTTGTCTATCTCGATGTCTCTATTGATTGAAGATTCACTGGAATGTCAGGCGGGCTTCTAAAAATTCTCTAGCATTCTTGGTGTTTCCTCTGTCTAATATTTGAACGTTTTCCCAGTCGAATTGATATCCGTGATTGTCTGTATGCAGTGATGTGAGTGAGGGAGTGGATGTCATGTCTTTTGACGTGGGGGGAATTAGAAACCCAAGTTTATAGGAAATCAACTCACACAGACCAAATACTGAATTAAAACAGCAACAATCCAATAACACACAAAAGGAATTGCATACAAACACTATTCAAGAGGGCCAGGACTCATTGCAACACTCCCACCTTAAGGAAAATTGAAGAAACATATCTTCAAAAAGAATGAATACCTACGGAATTTCATCAAATAACATACCCCCAAGCCAACCTATCAAACCAAAAGCCCATAATAAAACCACAAAGAAAATCGCCCTACCATATATGAAGGACATCTCAGAAATCACTGAAAGACTCTTCAAACCCTTAGGAGTTGACACCACACACAAACCAACAAAATCACTTCACTCAGTTCTATGTCAACCAAAAGACTCAACAGCGAAAGAAGATAAAACCAACATCATATACAAAATAAATTGTAACAACTGCGAAAAACACTAACTAAATTGGCCAAAGTGGACGTCCCCTTCGTCTTCGTATCCACGAACATAAGCTAGCCGTCAAAAGACATGACATCCACTCCCTTATATCACTACATACACACAACCGCGGACATCAATTCGACTGGGACAATGTTCAAATATTAGACAGAGGAAACAACAAGAATGCTAGCGAACTTTTAGAAGCCTGGTATTCCAGTGAATCGTCAACCAATAGACACATTAACATAGACAAAAATTTTCAACCGATAAGAAAGAAATCTCACACACAAAGGGTCAAAGTTCAAGTCAAAGAAACAATCAATTCCAATACAAATAGCCTAGAAGGTGTTAAAACACACAAAAACAACTAATCACGTTCAAGCTCACCAGGAGAGAGATGACTAATAAACTCGTGGAGAAATCTAAAAGCTCACTTCACATTGAAGTATGCACTGAAGATGTCGCCTAGTAGGGCGATGAAAGCTCCGCAAATTAACTATCCAGCTAGCTTAGAGAACACAACCACACCAAAATCATCCACCTGAGCTACAAATCTTCTCTATCATATCTATATCACTTTTTTATTCCTTCATGTTGCGAGTGGAACATATGGCATCAAGCTAGAGCGTTGAAGTTTAGGCGACAATGGTTTCTGCTGAGTGAAGTAGGTTTAGGATTGCGGCGGCGGCCGAGGATCGGACGATGGACCACGTTCTTGTTTGGCGACGCAAATATCACAATTAAAGTATGATTTTATTGCATTACACACACTAGTAACTGCATTTTATGTCTAAAGCCTTACAGCATACCATCAAGTAGGTACCCTTTTACTCGTTAATTTGTGCACTAGATGTGTCTAACCACTGAGTCAAAGCTTCGGACCACACCTCACTTAACTGAGGTTTGTGTAGCCTCACACACCATAAGTATGTGACTCATCGCCGATTGCAGGGAAATACAAATGGTTGTTCAGTGGTGTCTTCATTTTCTTCTTGTGAAAGTTGGGGCCTCCTCTAACCCTCCGTATTCTCATGTTTCACATTTGAGAATGCATGAAACGAATGTCTCAGAAGTAGTTCTAGTCCAAATCTTAAGACGTTAGAAGAAAACTAGAGATAAGACAGATAAATAGATAGAATGTTGTAATAGTTTTAGTTAAAGGTGAGATATGACTGTTTAAGTCTCAGTATGATGCATTCACACAATACATCACACTCACAGTTCCCAGTCATTGATTCTTGGTATTAGAGGAAAGTCAGTCAAACAACCTGCACATCCCCCTGTATGCCTCAGACGAAGTAACAGAAGTCGTCTCTTCATCCTATTTTAAATCTACTCTTAGACTCCTTCTAACTTAATTTGTTTTCTGAAATAAGCATACAATTTGGGCACTATGGATAAAATTTTATTTTGATAAAATCACACAGTGTGTTATACAGCAAGTAATATTTACTGATGACCACATTTCGAGCACAGTTTATTACTGGTCATAATCATATCAAAGTATTCACATAACTTTCTTGCTTCGTTTATATACGTGAGTGAAAATTGATTAGATATTTGAATAAAGTTAATATAAGAAGATAAAGTTCGTTCGAAAATAGTATTCGTGTTACCAATATAATAAGTGACTTGTTAGAATGTTATATTGTGAATTGAATACATACATTTTGAGATTATTTATTATCCTCCTCTGATTTGACTGACTGGTGGTAATAATATCTTCCATATCTGTGGTATTTGCATTGAGTCATTTCTGTTGCATGTGTTGTATTGGGTGTAGACTCAATGAACCAGTCAGGATTCAGTGATCAATCTCTCTCTCTCCACCTACTTATATTACTTCTTAGAATTTTGACTCTGTCCCACCCACCCTATTGTGTGGTTGTGTTAATGCATGTAGTGCAATAGAAGTGACTCAACGCAAATACCAGAGACATGAAAGATATTATTACCAGTCAAATCAGAGGATAATAAATAATGTTAAAATGCATATATTCAATTCACATTATAACATTCTAACAAGTTATTTATTTCAATTGATAACACTAATAGTATATTAGATAGTTGGAGGCAATCGGCAGGAGCGAGCCCTAATAGCTCAGTGGTAACGTTTCTGACTGCAGCATTGGGTGGGTGGGTGGTTGACGCGGGTTCGAATCTCAAAAGGGACATGAGTTCCTCCAAGGTTGCAGATACGCCTTGCTGACTGGTGAGTGCCAACTAACACGAAACCTAGGTCGAGCAAGGCTTCCTGTCGATTACCTCCAGCTATATAATATCATCTAATCAATGTGCATCGTGATGGTGAGCTACCTAGAATGGTGGCCACATTGCAAACCTGACTGATAGAATTCAGTCTGCACCAAAGAAAGGACTAGACACATCACACTAGTTACTAGTATCCAATCAAAACACTAATGCTATTTCCGAACGAACTTTATCTTCCCTTCTGTTTCACACTTCCAAGAGCATACGAAGCCTCCCTGAGCATCATTCTCCTTTACGCACATCACCTTCATCTGTTTCACACAAGTCTTACATATCGACTTTATTCAAAATTCTAATCAATTTTTACTCATGTATATAAACGAAGCAAGAAAGTTATGTGAGTACTTTGATATAATTTTAAGCAGTAATAAACTGTTATAGGTTTCCAGGCCGTAGGTGTTACGAACTTCCTGAAATAATTTGAGCGCCGAGTCAGATTGATTCATTATAAATTATTTAAATTAATCCCAGCGTGTTAAGAAAATCAAAACAAGATTTTTCTGAACGTTTCGCTGTGTAAGCCAAAGCTTCTTCAGCAGATTTATTCGGATTTTTATTAATCATCAAAATATATAGTCAAAAATTTTACATACATTAAAGTCAGTTTATCTGAAGGTCATTTGTCTATGGACATTTTTACCAATAGAAAATATGTAAGCAGTCATCACATATTTTTGTAATGACTAATGTCAAGTTGTTGTTGTGTTCATTCTTGTATAGTTAATTTGTATAGATTAGTTTTGTATGAGTGTGTGTGTGTGTGTATGTATGTTATTTGTCATATGGAAAATACGTGAATTCATATTTGATAAACATGTTTTAAAAGGTCATGGAGGCTCATAGAGTGCTGATTGATTTTTTCATTTGTCTTGCTTCATAAGAGTTTGCCATATAGGTGATAAGTCTATCCCATCCTTCCTATTCACTGCATTCGATGTGGTTAAGATGTGCAAGGCTTCAGAAGTCAATCTTTCTTTATGTGAATGAAATCCTCTTCCAAGATCGGCTATAGCAATGCATGCTATAGAAAACGGACATAAGATTGATTTCGACAATGTCGAAATTCTTGGAAGAGGATTTCATTCACATAAAGAAAGATTGACTTCTGAAGCCTTGCACATCTTAACCACATCGAATGCAGTGAATAGGAAGGATGGGATAGACTTATCACCTATATGGCAAACTCTTATGAAGCAAGACAAATGAAAAAATCAATCAGCACTCTATGAGCCTCCATGACCTTTTAAAACATGTTTATCAAATATGAATTCAAGAATGAACACAACAACAACTTGACATTAGTCATTACAAAAATATGTGATGACTGCTTACATATTTTCTATTGGTAAAAATGTCCATAGACAAATGACCTTCAGATAAACTGACTTTAATGTATGTAAAATTTTTGAATATATATTTTGATGATTAATAAAAATCCGAATAAATCTGCTGAAGAAGCTGTGGCTTACACAGCGAAACGTTCAGAAAAATCTTGTTTTGATTTTCTTAACACGCTGGGATTAATTTAAATAATTTATAAGGAGTAATAAACTGTGCTCAAACCGTGGTCATCAGTAAATACTGTGTAATTCTGCCAAAATAAAATTTCATCCATAATGGAATTAATTCTTTTTCAGTTAAAAGAATGCGAAATGGTTGAATGGTAGATAGGTATGCATAAATTATATCTCAGACACCTCGTTTTTTGTAGGTTTGCTTTGTCATCGACTGTATTCCTAGTTGCCGCACGTCTCATTCACTGGTTGTGTCACAGATAGGTGATACAGTAAGAAAAACAGACAGTCAAGTAGTCAATACGACTGTAAATATTCACCAAATAAATTAAAAAAAGTCGACCTAAAATATTATTTAGATCAATAAGATAACTGACGTAAGGAAGAAATAATAACAGCTTGAACGTGATTGATGTTTTATTGTTGTGTGCAAATTGATATCGGCTATGAAACTGGTTCTCAGCTCATGATGAAATCCTAAAAACAATCAAATCGTTGCAAACCAACAGTCGAAAATCAATCTGATGGTCACCAGAGACTAGCCCTATTCAGGTAGGTAGTTACCTAGGTTCCAGTGGGAAGTGTTGGCCAGTCGGGTGTAAGGACAAATGCTCGTCACCGATGACATTGGCCAGTTGTTTACGCTATACCGTGAATTGGCAAAAGTTGGCCATTGGATTGGGTCCCAATGAATTAATAGTCTATGAGCTCACCTTGTAACCAGAAGATTCTGGGTTCGAGTCCCGCAGTGTGGATGCGTACTGATGAAGAGTCCCAAACTAGGACGAAATGGCTGTATATTATTCCCATGTTTTCCAATGGGTCTTTAACCAATGTCAGCGCATGATGAAATCCTGAAACCAATCAAATTGCTGCAAACCAACACCTGACAATCAAGTATAACAAGAAAGTAGTACTGAATAGTGATTGCTCATCACTGGCTATTAATAATCCGCAAAACATTGGATATTCGACTCCTAACTAGAGATTGAACAACAGTGTTGCATACAATAAGACTGTCGTTCTAGAATCGAAAGGGAACCACTGTTCTGCGGTTCACAGTTTTCATTGTCTCCAGTGAAATCAATGAAATTTCATTATAATAAAGGTTTTTTGTATTTCTCAATAAATGAGTGAAAAACAAAAACGATATTGTTGTTTTTACTGACGTTTCGCTATTTAATGATGCTGCTAATAGCTTTATCAGAGTATTATTAAACCGGAATTTACAAAATCCACTCAGCTTATATATATATATATATATATATATATATATAACAAAGAGTTAAGGGGTGAGAAAATAGACTTAGGTTAAGTTAAAAGGATATATTGAAAGTCAAAATAGCAATGAAGATCACTAAACCAAATAACAAAGGTACGTCTATTTTAGAACTATTCTGTCAAATCTTGACGACAGTTCATTTGAAGTAATAGTATGTCTGTTATGATATCAAAATAAAGTTTACTAACTTGATCATCGTTCGTCTGTCTGGGGTCATTTTTCGTTGTCAAATTGGTCAATTGGTAAAGAAGAGCCTGAAAAATCATCAGCCATAGGTTGTCTACACGCTATAGAATCAAACCACAAAATTGATTTTGATAATATTGAAATATAATCCAGACAAACTTCAGAAATCACAAAGAACGTCTAATATCAGAAACACTTCATATTAAGTGGAATCCAAATTGCCTGAATAGGAATGATGGACTAAAACAGAATCTGACCTGGTTACAACACCTCCCTCCCCCCATCAAGTGACAAAACCAACACGAATGTGATAAGCAAGTTCGCTATGTAAACAAACACACACTACTTATTATAATTTTACACACTGGTCAAATCCAACAATTCACATTTGATTTTTTTATCTTTACCAATTGACCAACTTGACAACTAAAAATGCGCCCAGACAGACGAACGATGGTCAAGTTAGTAAACTTTATTTTGATATCATAACATATGTACTGTTACCTTTCTTATTTGGTTTAGTGATCTTCATTGCTATTTCGACCTTCAATATATCCTTTTAACTTGACCTATGTCTATTTTCTCACCCCTTAACTCTTTGTTATATATAAGCTGAGTGGATTTTGTAAATCCCGGTTTAATAATACTCTGATAAAGCTATTAGCAGCAGCATTAAATAGCGAAACGTCAGTAAAAACAGCAATATCGCTTTGTCTTTTTCATTCATTCATTGGGAAATACAGAGAAACAACCTTTATTATAATGAATATCATATACTCAATGCCCAAATTTTTTCAAACCGTTAAAAGTGAACTTGGTTTGGACATATACTTACTTTACTTTACTTCGGCTATCTCCTATGGGAGGATGAGCCGGCTTCATGAACATCTCGAATCATCGCTGCCCAGGCGCGGCGATCGTTTGTAAGAGAGTTCATGGAGTTTCATGGGAATTTGGTACGAGTGATGTCCCCAGAATCGCTCGGCCTTTTGTTTGAGAGTGCAGCTCTAGCCTTTACACAACCGAGTGTGACCTACAAGGCAGTAGGAGTGAAGTAGGGAGTCCACTATCCATTGGTAGCCGGTGGCTGGAGTTCGGTTCATACGCCTTTTTGAATGGGGCCAGACATCCAGGACATCCAAAAAGCCCTTTTTCCATGCGTCTGCTGGTGAGCTCCAGTGAGCTTCATACGCCAGTCGTTGGAGGTTTGGAATCAGGGTTTAGCCATCTCCCCTAGACTGTCATCCAATGGACAGTCAACCCGGTGAAAAGCGCCGGGCATCCGCTTTGGCCTCCAAAGCCTCAGGAAGGTCGGGGGTGGGTGCCTTGCGCTGCGGGTTGGCCACCCCTCCGCACACCTCTTGAAATGCTCCCATATGACCGGGCGTCTTACATAGCCTCTCCTGAGGAAGTCCTACTCACTGCCTTCACGTGGTGGAGGTGTTTTTCACCAAAGTGAGAGGGTGAAAGCGGATGCCCGGCGCTCTTCACCGGGTTGACTGTCCATTGGATGACAGTCTAGGGGAGATGGCTAAACCCTGATTCCAAACCTCCAACGACTGGCGTATGAAGCTCACTGGAGCTCACCGGCAGATGTATGGACAAAGGGCTTGTTGGATGTCCTGGATGTCTGACCCCATTCAAAAAGGCGTATGAACCGAACTCCGGTCACCGGCTGCCAATGGATAGTGGACTCCCTACTCCACTCCTACTGCCTTGTAGGTCACACTCGGTTGTGTAAAGGCTAGAGCTGCACTCTCAAACAAAAGGCCGAGCGATTCTGGGGACATCACTCGTACCAAATTCCCATGAAACTCCATGAACTCTCTTACAAACGATCGCCGCGCCTGGGCAGCGATGATTCGAGATGTTCATGAAGCCGGCTCATCCTCCCGTAGGAGATAGCCGAAGTAAAGTAAAAGTAAGTATCCGCTTTCGCCCTCTCACTTTGGTGAAAGACACCTCCGCCACGCGAAGGCGGTGAGTAGGACTTCCTCAGGAGAGGCTATGTAAGACGCCCGGTCATATGGGAGCATTTCAAGAGGTGTGCGGAGGGGTGGCCAACCCGCAGCGCAAGGCACCCACCCCCGACCATCCTGAGGCTTTGGAGGCGTTTGGACATATGTAAATGACTCAATGAAATTTCCTTCACATTCTTGTACTGAATAATCGATTGTTTGTATTTTAAAAGCAATTGTTGTTATCTTCATGTTAAATTTATCCAATATCCATTTACCTCTTGGGTTTTTTTCCTTTTTTTGTGTGTAATATGTATACATTTAATATTTTTGTTGATTGTTTTTTGGTAATTTCACTTTCATATTCTAGATCTACTTCTGTTAACGGTAGAATTCCTCCTATAGTGCTACTTTTAGTGAATCGTTGTGTACAGCCTGTGAATGGTCGAGTTCCCTGTACTACATCTAGTTCTGATCATGGTGATGGCGATGATGATAGCAGTAAAAGCAATACTTTATTTCAATGTTTCATTTCACGTCTTGGCCAGTTAATCAATAGTGAATACTTGTCGAATAGTTCAAATTCATGTTCAACTCTAGGAGATTATCCTTTAACCTCTTTAAATGAACACAAGGTTGGTTGGCGGGGTTGTTAAATATTCTATTTTGAATATTTTCTTTTATTTTCTGCTTCCTTAACATAAACTAGTATATCTGTTAAGTTTAGGTGGTTAAAAGGGAATCAGTAGTAGTAGGAAGCCTTGCTTGACCTAGGTTTCGTGCTAGTTGGCACCCACCAATCGTCAGCAAGGCATATCTGAAACTTTGAAGGTACAACTCATGTCCCACCTTCTGAGATTTGAAATCCGCTTCAGCCAGTGCTGCAGACAGAGACGTTACTACTGAGGAGCTATTTGGGCTCGCGATTGACATCCTGTAAGAAGGTATTTGATGTTTCGGTTGGACACTAGTCAGTAACTAGTGTAATGTGTGTCTAGTCTTGTCTTTAATGCAGACACCGCGATGGTGAGCAACCTAGGCTGTTGGCCACATTTCAAACTTTAGTCTGCATTAAAGATAGAACTGAACACATTACACCAGTTACTGATTAGTGTCCAATCAGAATACGAGTTTATCAGTCGTTATATATATTTATTCATACTTGTAATATGTACTGCTATCGTTTTTACTAGACCGAAAGTAAAATGTCTACAATAGTGAAATATCGGTTATACATTCAGTAGTAACTAACCGGTAGAATTTTGAATACAGGTTTCGTCTCCCTTGGGACTCGTTGCACTGTGATAGAAAAAAACAAACAAAGTAATCAACTCAGAAGCCAAATTTAACGTGTATATCACTTCTTTTCATTGAAATTATTCTGATCTTCCCTTTCCAGCCCAGTGCAACTGAAAAAGTCCCAAGTTGGACAAAATCTATTATTCACTACCATGTATGTATGTATATATTATTGTTGTTTCCCTGGGTTCCAAGTGGAAAATAGGGCTTCAACAGGACGTCTCCACTTTGGCCTATTCTCTGCGGTTCTCTTTAGCTGCCTCCGAGAATACCCATAGTCACTGATCTCCTTCTCACAAGATTTCCTCCGTGTCACGCTCAAACCAACACCTCACTTGTCGTTTCCCATTTGGATTCCACTCGAGCGATGACCTGCATTGAGTGCGATGTCATTCGATGGTTTCCTCAGTGTGAGCCTGATCCATCTCCATTTTCTCCTACATATTTGTTGAGCATTGGGTCCTTGGTTAGTTTGTTCCACAGCAGAGTTGCTTGTTCCTAATTCTCTCTGGCCGGCCATTTGATCTTCATTATGGAGTCATCGAAGGAGGCAGCTGTTGATATAAATCTGCCGTAACCGGTTGGAAATGCTATTCGTGACACGCTGGTCAAATTTTCGACCCACATAGAAGAACTGACTGACTGACTTCACACTTGTGTTGAAAATCCGAACCTTGCTCTTTATGCTGAGGTGGAGTGCAGATTTCCAAACTGGTTTCAGATTGATGAAGGCATGCGTATCTTGCCTTTCCGATTCTGACTGGATTTGACAATTTCATCCGTGCTGGGCGTCTGTGGTTGAAACGATGCCTCCCAGATAGGTGAAGGAATTAACCTCTTTCAAATCTTTCCTGTTTGTGGTGGTTGGTGCTGGTTTTTTGTTGTTGTTGTTGCTGCTGTTGACGGTGGTTGGTTATCTTCATCACCTCCTGCGTCTTCTCTATGTTCACCTGTAGTCCTGTTTTCGCTGCCTGCTAATTCTGACAGTTTGTTGGTCTTTTGGCTCGTAAGTCTTCTAGTGTGTGTGACACTAAACCTAAATAATCCAAGCACGAAATCCAGATCTTCTTATCGGTCCAGCGTATTCCTTTCTTCTCTCTCCCACTATCTGCCGCATAATCCAGTGTCCATCACAGTTAGGAATATCATCGGCAGACAGCCTTGTCTTACTCCTGTCTTCACTTCAATGGCTTCGCTTGGTTTTCCATTGTGGATCACCTCACACGCGGCACCTGTCATATAGCAGCTGTTGAATAATAATGAGGTTGAGAAAGATTTCGAGCAAATCATCTGCTGATCAAACTGAAACTCTACTCATCCTCATTGGACAAAGCGTAGAATGGAAGTTGAATTGCTATCTCACTCAACTCCTTGAACCTTGAAAAGGCCTTCGACAGCATAGTCGGTGAAGTAATTTCGAAAACAAGTATATACTGCATAACTAAGATAATCACTGATGTGCACTTTTTATGTTCGGTCTAGTAAAAAATAGCAACAGGTAAATCACAATTATGGTTTGTGGGGTAGAATGTTCGTTAGTCACGCACATGGTCCGGGGCTAGCTAGCTGCAAGCCAAAAATTGTAGACAGCAATTTACGTCAGTGTTACGTCCCGAATCCGGGTCATGAGAAAAAAATAACAAAGCTTAACCTTTAGGAACTCATCAACCAATCACCGAAGACTTAACGTAAGCAAATACGATTTGCAGATATGTGGCTAACTTTCTAAGAAACGGTCACAAAAAGATAACAGAATAACCTTCAGCAAGTAAACAACCAATCAGAAAACGCTGCTTCTCTACTAACAATAACGCTAATAATAATGTACATAAAAATCTATAAATATCTGTTGATTTATCTCAATAAACGATCTGTTGCCTGGCTCTTGTCTTCTGTCGTTACAACAGTAAGCCATATAAAGAGGGAAAGTCAGGCTTGTGAGTCTAGCAGGCCGTCTCATAAAAAATCACCATCACCATTGAAACCTTATAGCCCAAGTTTGAACCCCCCCTGTGTTCCACCCAGTACCCAAAGAAATGAATGAATGAATAATATTATTATTATTATTGTTCTCTTGGGTTCCTAGTGGAACATAGGGCTTCAACTACACGTCTCCACTTGCTTCTGTCTTCTGCTGTACTTTTCACTTGCATCCATGTTAGTCCATACTGTTTCAATTCCTCTTCACACGATCTCCTCCATGTCACCCTTGAACGTCCCACTCGCCGCTTCCCTTTCGGGTTCCACTCGAGCTATGGCCTGACGCGCGATGTCACCCAGCGGCCTCCTCAGCGAGTGTCCAATCCATCTCCATTTTCTCCTGCATATTTGTTGAGCGATTGGTTCTTGTTTGTTTGTTTGTTCCCATAGTTTCTTGTTGGTGATTCCTTCCGGCCATCTGATCTTCAGTATAGAACGAAGACAGTTGTTGATAAAGGTCTGCAACAGGCTGTTGGAAATATTCTTTGTGACCCACCAAGTTTCTGATCCGTATAGAAGAACTGACTGACTTGACGTTTGTATTGAAAATCCGAATTTTGTTGTTGACGTTGAGTGATGAAGATTTCCAGATTGGTTCCAGGTTGATGAATGTGTTTCTCGCCTTCCCGATTCTCGCTCGATTTGACATCCTCGTCCGTTCCTCCTGTAGTTGAGACAATGCTGCCTACATAAGTGAATGAAGTAACCTCTTTCAAATCCCTCCCGTTGATGGTGATTGGCGGTTGTTGGTTGGTTATTTTCATAACCTCCGTCTTGTCTATGTTCACCTGGAGTCCTGTCTTCACTGCCTGCTTCTTCGACCAGTTTGTCAGTTTTCGCTTGTAAGTCTTCGATTTTGTGTGACATCAAACATAAATCATCCACGCGCGAAATCCAGGTCTTCAAGGTTCTTCACGTCGGTCCAGGATATCCCTGTCTTCTCGTTTCCCACTGTCTGACGCATAATCCAGTCCACCACAATTAGGAATATCATTGGTGATAATAAGCACCCTTGTCTGACTCCTGTGTTTACTCCAAACGCCTCGCTGAGTTTTCCGTTGTGGATCACTTGACATGAATAATAATGACTGATAAAGTTGGTGATCTGACGTCGCGTAAAATGAGGAAATTAATGCTGGTGAATAATAATAATCATAATCCGTTAAATTCCTCCAAGAATTCGAAAAGCCCAATAATATTTTACTGAACTTTATTTTATTTCGATGTATCCATAACCATTGGGATTCGGCAAGTCAGATACAAGTATGGATAATTACTCACTGATTGCACTGAATAACAGCCACACACACACACACACGCATCATTCACTCATCAGTGACATCAGATAGTCTTTGATCTATAATTACAAATGAGATCAAGTGGGAAGATTGACGACTGTCAGTTCTGTCGTCACTAGGAGTGATTGATCTACTACTCTCTGCAGGGTATCCAAGGATTCTCTGTTTAACCGTCTGATATGTGACAGGACCAATTCAGCAGTGTTTGTTTAATGTTATTTCGTTAATCACTTTATTTACAAAACTAACAATTATATAACAGAAATAAGCAATTGTTTTCTTTATTCATTCATTCATTTATAGATTGATCAAATCAAATTGGATTTAGATAATCAATTAATTGATTTGTACAAATCTGGTACACGTTGTTTTCACTTCACTTCAATTGATCGATTGCCAGCTAAGCTTATTCCATTGTTCCATGGTTATACAGATGTGGAGAATTCAATTTATTCCAATGCTGTTCTGTTGATAAGTTTATCGAAAACATTTGTAACTAGGTAGGCTACTGTTTATATGGATAAGCAATATTTTCTTAGATCAAGTTCACTATTATTTACTTCTACTGATTGGCTTTTAGGCAGGGGCTTGTGTTTTTATTGAAGTGAACCAAGTCTCTCCTCCCAATTCTTGGGAGCAGCGGTAGATTTGAATGCTCGCTAACCACACGTATGTGGTATGTCCGAGGTTCGAACACCGGCCGACGCACTCCCATTCCTCACTTCGCTGATAGTAAGTAAACTTAAACCTAGTGAAGAGAAAAGGTTGGGTATGTGAGACTGTCAACTCCATCCCGTAAACTTCAAAACTCAAGCTTGAAGTCCCCTATGTTCCACTCTGAAGGCAAAAGGACCACTCACTGACTGTCACTTGCCTTCATTGGGTTCTTATATTACCCGAACTATGGGAGGGTTAGTAATTATTTATTCTTTATCCAACTAGAAAATTATAATCCGAGATCCCCACAAGTCCTATGATCGAAATACCAATAGGGTAGCTCACTGATGACCAGTGAATGGATTTCCTGAAGCCATTGAGAGTGGAAGACATGAAAAGATTAGCTGTCTTCGATCATAGGTGCCTGCGTTCTATCTTCTGTGTGAAGTGGTATAATAAGGTGAGCAATATTGAGGTTAGGCTTCAGTCGAGTGCCAGGTAAGCATTGAGGGGAAATCAATAGACGAGGTTGTGAAATTACATCGACTGAGATGGTTAGGACATGTGTTACGCATGCATGCCTAGTCATCGCCTTCCCCGACAGCGGGCAATGTTAGCTGACATAGGGTCAGGCTGGAAAAGAGCTATCGGCGGTCAAACCTAAACATGGCTTCATCAGTCAATGAAATCCACAACAGTTAGTTTAGGCCAGTTACGTAGGAAGGTGCAGACTTCTTGGTTGGGGTCCTTGGGACGGTAAAAACCAATGGAGGCTGGAGACAATCGGTGATATGGCTCAAAATCGTTCTCAATGGCGCAGATGCATCCACTCCTTGTGACTTATGATTTCAAATGAAACTATATCGTTCTTCGTTATTACTATTCCTTTGTCTCACACCTCTGTTTACTGTCTCTATTATGCATTTCTTCTCTTGCTTTGTGTGCTACAAGGAGGGAGTGTGGCGACTTGAACTGCTGCACACCAGTGTAAAGTTCTATGTCGAAAACAGACAAACAGTCGAAAGTCGTGACCATTGGGGGGTAGTGGATCCACCATGTCATTACTGAGGACACTGCTATGCCACGAGTCAACAGAGTTAGAATTCAGCAGTCATTGAATCTCAGCTCAAGTGGCTGAATAGTTAACGAGCTTGGCTTTGTCGTAACCTAAAGGTCCTTGGTTCGATCTCTTGTTGGGTTCTGGGTACGCACTGATGAAGAGTCCCAGAACAATACGAATCAACTGTCCACTGCTTCCTGGGGCTCAGTGATCTCTCTAACTCATGTTGGCTTGTGACGAAAATTTAAAAATTCCCATAAATCCTGTAATTTGAACATTATGGAATTAGTTGTTATCAAGTTTTTACACTAAGGGTGTACTACTTCCTTAATTGTAGGATGACAATATGATTCATTTTTTTTTTTTCAAAAGTTGATAATTTAATTACGTACACCCATTAACCTTGTTAAGTAATACGGTGAGGGGAGGGGTTAGTAGTTTTATGAATATGGAAGATTCATAGTAGTTACGTCAGGTCAAACCAGGGATTTATATCATTTAGAAAACAATTGAAAACCAGCCACAGGGAGTACTGGACAGCTGTTTTATCCTAGTTTGATAATCATCATCATCAGTAAGCACCCACCACCAGCGTTGGAACCCAGGACCTTCCCATAGCAAGGCAAGCTCGTATACTATTCAGCCACTTTGACCCGATCCAATGGCCAGCCCATGAATTCTAACTTCTACCAATTCGTGACTTGAGCTGAATAGTACACGAACTCGCCTTCTAACCGTAAGGTCCTGAGTTCGAACCTCCTGTGGTGGGTGCGTACTGCCGATGATTCGCAAACTAGGACGAAACAGCTGGTTGTCCAGTACTCCCTATCCCTGGTGGTTTTCAATGGTTCTCTAACTGATATCAATCCGTGATCAACTCTTAAAAACAAAACTAATCCTTACAAACCAAGCTCTTGAAAATTAATCTGATGCTTGCTAGTGACTTGCTACAGGACAGAGTTTCCTGGAGTTCTAGTGAGAAGTCGTGACCAGTGAGGTGCATCCAAATGTCACGTGTGAGGATGGATGTCCCACCGACGACATTGGTTGGTGCCAGTCGCGCTAAAGTCACGAATTGGTAGAAGTTAGAATTCATGAGCTGGCTGGCCATTGAATTGGGTCCCAGCGGCTGCTGAGTGGTATACGAGCTTGCCTTGTAACTGGAAGGTCCTGGGTTCGAACTCTGGTGATGGGTGCATACTGATAGTGATAATCAAACTAGGATGAAACAGCTAACCAGTACTCCCTGTCTCTGGTGGTTTTCAATGGTTCTCCAGCTGATATCAATCCGTGGTCTGACCTGAAACCAATACAAACCCTACAAACTAAATTCTTGAAAATAATAATTACCCCTCGAGTCTTATTCCAAATAAGCAGTACACGTCAACGAACTAAGTGTTTGTAATCTGTTAGTTATGATGAGATGATTTGATAATTTACTTTGACTTATTTGCTTGTTTTTCTTTTTTTTCTTTTGTACTACATTCAAGTTCACCACAGAATTGTACAAAACGATCTGAACACATACTGCCTGGTTGTCAAACACCTGGTCAATTCGAGCATCAAGTTAATAAATATTTACGATCTCTGTGGAATAAACATTTGGGCAATGAAGAAGTTGATGCGTTGATCTCTCGTTTAACTTTGAATATTATAGTTTTTCATACTTTTAGTGATCATTTAGAAATAAACTCAATCTGTTCTCGTTAACAGCGAGAATATGAATATTGTTGTTGTGGTTGTTGTTGTTGCTGCTTTTGTTGTAATTCTCATCGTTTTATACTTTTGTATCTAAAGCTTTTCTAGACCATGAGAAATCTTATTTTTATAATTTTCTTTTCCTTGACCTTATTATACTCCTTTTCTTTACTGAGTACTGTCATACTACTCTCAAACTATATCAGTAGTGTATATTGTACAGTGAATAAAATAAAAGGTCAAATATATACCGTCTTGTTATGCACTTTCTATATTTCTCTGTAATTTGGTCACAATGGTTAAGATATACGACGCATTAAAGATTGAGAAAATCAGTAGTGGTGCTCATGTAGGTTTTTGATAATGAATTCAATGTTTGAAAGCCAACCGTCAAATCGTACCCAGTGTCCAATATCGTTTTTACGAGCTAGCGTAAACCGATTTGATTTCTTTGTGCTAGCTTCTTGGTTGTGACGTTAGGGTTCCTGGTCTTCTGTAAACTCCTGCTTAGTTCGTCTCGCCACTCGACTGTCCTAGCGTTGATTGACTCCAAAAGGAGTGGTGCTGGGATTGATTATCTGTAGTTTTTAGTATGCGGTGTGTTAAGACAGTGTTGCTGCTGTGAATGCAGTTGATCCTTTCACCCTCTAGTCGTTCGATGTTATCAAATGGAAAGATAATAATAGTAGATATAATTTGTGTAGATTATGTAAACGTAAAAACAGAGAGCTGATGAAATTTATATATATATATTCATATTAATATTGTAAGGCAAGTAATAGTTGGAGTAGTCGGGTGAGTATGAAGAGCTAAGAGGACAAGTTTAGGTGTGTACCCATTAATAGTGTGTTTTAAGGGGATAGGCCATTTTGACGCAGTCCTTGTTTCGCTGCATGCTTGTCCAGCCTCCAATATATATAACTGATTATCTGAAGTTTTGTTTGGATATTTGCTGTCCATATGAAACACTGTTTTCGAGACTTGACAGAATCTCTTCTTTGCAGCTGAAAAAACTTAGAAGACAAAAAGAGAAGTTGTATAAGAATTGTGATAATACTGGTGTCCGTAAAATAAACACCCTTCTAAAAATTGAAATAGAAAGATTGAACAGACTATATAATGAAAAAATTTTATCATGTAAAAATCCTTCAAACATTTGGAAACTTTTCAATAAACTTACAAGTAAAAAACAAATGTCTGTTGATGCTTATTCTGATGTTAATGCTTTAAACAAATCATTTATCATGAAACAAATTAATATGCCTGTACCTGATGTACCTAGTCAAGATAATGGTCATTTTCCGGGTTGTAAAGAAGAGGATGTACTATTATGTTTGAAATCTTTAAATCCAACACACAGCCTTGGTCCAGATGGTGTACCAGGCATTCTTCTTCAAAAGTGTGCAGACATCTTGTGTCATCCTCTTACTCAAATCTTTAATGCATCATTTAACAAGGAAACGGTACCTGCTGACTGGAAAGAAATCAAGGTTGTACCTGTACAGAAATCATCTTCTGGAGCAGGTATAAAGTTTAGACCGGTCGCTATAACATCTCCTTTTTTGAAAACTATGGAGAAACTTCTTTTGAATACTCTTAAACCTTCTTTAAAAGCTTTTAGTGACCCTAAGCAGTTTGCTTATAAGTGTGGAAGAAGTACATTAGATGCAGCCATTGTACTACACCACAATATTGTTTCCTGCCTTGATAAGGGTGCTAAGTTCGTTCGAACAGCTTTTTTAGACTATACTGCAGCTTTCGACTCTGTTCCTAGGACACTTTTATTAGGAAAGATGATTTCAGCACAGGCAGAGTCCTGGGCAACTAGATGGCTGTCTTCTTATTTTAAGGATAGGAAACAGCATACTGTTTTGGCTGGAAAGCGCTCCACTTCTCAGCTAACTGAAAGTGGTGTGCCTCAAGGTACAGTACCTTCTCCATTTCTTTTCTCTTTCTTTTTGCATGACCTTCCGAACTCACCCAAAGTTAACTTCATTAAGTATGCTGATGATCTGACCGTTTCTGTTCCTGTAGTTTCCACATCGGATTGTTCCCATATGAATGGCTTCTTAGCTGAAGTTAAGGATTGGTCTAGCTCAAATGGTCTTAAACTAAATCCAACTAAGTGTAATACAGTTGATTTCAGCTTGAGAAGTGAAAAAGACATGCATGGATTGATCCAATCTCATGATTGTTGTAATATTGATGGTACCATGATAGAGAGTAAGTCAAGTGTTTCTTATCTTGGCATCAGTTTCTCTTCAAACCTTTGCTGGTCGTCTCACATTCTTATAGTTTCTAAGAAAGTTTTCCGTCTGACTTATTACATAAAGAAGTTGAGGCACTCAGGTATAACCCAATCTCTTCTCATACAATTTATTAATTCATGTGTTTTGCCCATCATTCTTTACTGTTCTCCATTATTCTTCCCTGGGCTACTCAAAAAAGACCATATAATACTACGAAGAACATTGAGGGCTGTAAGTAGGGTCAGTGCTGTCCCTTTGACTCAACTAACTGACACTGTTGTCAATGGGCATATGAATTCTTGTAAACACTTAGCTAAAGTTATCTTGTCTGATAGTGAACATCCTCTTTATTCACATTTGTTTCCATGTATCTCTTCGGGTAAGACCAGAAGAAATTTCATAAACATTTATGCTCGTACTACAAAATATAAAAATTCGACCGTACCATATTTGGCACGAGTATTGTGTGAAGAGACAAATATCAGAAAAGAACTCTTACAACTTTTAAATCATTAACTAAACTATAAAATGTAATGATGCATATTATTGCATGTGTGATTTGTTATATTATTTATTTATTATTTCACTATGACCTAGAAATGGTGTATTTTGTTGGGGTTTTTTATTTTTCCTATTAACTATCAATATTTTTAAAATTTTATATTTATATAATTATAAAAAGAGCTAAACCAATGCAATATGTAAAATGAAACGCTGAAAATTCCATGCTGTAAATTGTTATTGTTGTGGAATAAAGTGATTATTATTATTATTAAAAAAAAAAATTTACGCTGTCCAAGGACAGTGCAGTAGCCACATCTGTCCGTAAGGAATTCCAGAAGAGGCAAACCTTAAGGGAAGCAGGAACGTATTCCAGTCTTCGCTGTCTGGTAACCTATCCTTCGTGGATTCCCATGACGAAGCCCATACCTACTTAATGGCAGAAGGCCTTTGTTTGGGTGATCCTGGTCATTTGTAAACTTATAGGCAGTAATTAAGTTCCCTATAAGCCGATGGCACCCTGTTGATTTATTATTGGATAACTATCATTTCAATGGCAAAAGTCACGGAATCATTGTTTATTTGACCAAGAAAATATGTAAGACAAGATATCAAAGTTATGTTTTCATGAGTCAGTGACAATTATTAACGAAGACAGTTTATTGATCAGAATGTGACCTGCCAGTCGAGATTGGCTTGAGTGTTTGTCATAAATTTCATCCTACTCTCAGATCTGCTTTCGATATGTATTTTCAGATGACATTTCGTACCATAATCTTCCGGTTTCATATCAGTGTGGTCTCTACAAAAGTGATATGTTTTCGTTGAAATTTATCCTTGAAAGCACTGATTCAACCTTGATACGAAGATATGAATTTTACCCTACTTGTGAATTTTACTGTCCCGTGATACAATGACAATAATCGAATGAGTTCCTATGACGCTCATCATATAAACAGTTTGCATGAATAGTATCATTTTGTACATCACCAGTCACGACTCTATCATTGTTCAGTGAAGCCTCGCCCAGTTTAATTACTCTCTAGTTTTCTAGCATGTCCAAAGCCCGGGAAAAGAGGAAGGGTTGGGTCTGAGACTAGCGCCCTTATCCCGGAAAATCAGTCCGACCTCTACAAATATTTCAAAGCACAAGTATAATATAAAAAACAAACTTATTCTTCGATAGAATTGGAGAGACGAAATTACTCGGCTGCTGAAAGCCTCCGGGAAGCCAGTCAGTTGATTTGTCTTTCTTTGAAAACAAAATTAAGCACTGGGACATGGAATCTTTGTACAGTGTACAAAGCTAAGAAGGTCGCCACGGGAATGATAAAATACGCCGTGGAATCGATAGGAATATGTGAGAGCAGGTGGAGTATGTATGGAAACTAAGTGCGTCACGAAAAGTACTTCCAACCGGCTACGGCAGACTTTTATTAATTGCTGCCTCCATATTGAAGATCCAATTCCCAAGAAGAATAAGCAACAAGAAAAATCTGCTGAAGAGTGATCTAACCAAGAACCTATTGCTCAATAAATATGTGGGAGAAAATTCAGGTGTTCTGTGAGTTCAAAATGTTACAGGTAAAAAAAATACTGTGTCACTGTGCTTTTATCAAATACAATTCCCTGGTATTTACACTGTTTTGGTAATTATTTTTCAACACTATACAAAATAGAAACGTGGACTTTCTATCGACCTTATTCTAATACAGAGGCCTGAGAAACATAGAATTTAAGTCTTTTAACTCGACTAGATCATTCGTGAATGGAAAATATTTGTGATATGGCTTTCCGTACCCATTTTAATATCTTATTATGAAACTTATATCATTATTTAACTACTAATCATGTCACTTATCTTCTAGTCCATACGGGTTGTTTTTGGGCTGTGAAATAAAATACGGTGAGTAGTATCACAAATATTGCTTAAGTGTTGTTAGCAACCTGAAGGTTGTTATGGTTTGCGCAACCATACATGAACAGACGGTAAAGGCAGTTAAAACATGATTCTGCGCTAATTTCTTCACAATCATGTATTCAAAGTAATGGTCATATGGCAACTTGTTTATGTGGCTTGGCACTCCCCATACAAACTGTTATGGTTAACATATCTTCATATATCATAAACCGATTGCTACGCCCTTACCTTTTCGCTAGATAGGTACTCGCTACGAGAAAGTAGACAGCTAGACCATACTTCCCAGTTCTCGACGGCAACCTGAGTCCATGAGGTGAACTATCTTCTGCCCTCTAAATGGA